TGGCATATGTGGAATTTACTTTTCCGTTCTGAAAACTATATTTGTGTTCCTTTATGCGGATTTTGAACGGTCTTCCAGTTTGACCTATGTAAAATATCGGACATGACCCACACGATAATTTATACACTCCTGATTTTTCTGATAGTGAACTTTTATCTTTGTTATTTTTAATGTGCATGCTCAAGTTGTTGTTGGTTTTGAAAGCAGTATTTACACCTTTGCTGTGCAGAAATTCTGGAATATTTGTAGTGGGTTGGCCTAAGTAGGTTAAGGTTCTATAACTTTTATCCTCTTCTCTTCGAATTGGGTAAACTTCTTTCAAAGCTTGACTGTATAACTTTTTTGATAATAAAGAATGTATTAGACCACTATCATAAACATTGTTGATCGCTATTTGCTTTATTATATTCAGTTCTTTATTGAAATTCGCTTCTGACAAGGGTACATTTATCAGTCTGTGGATCATACTGTTGAAAGCTGCTACCTTATGCTGATATGGGTGAGTGGACGAATTATGAATGATAATATCCGTATATGCCGGTTTACGATAAATTGAAAAATCATGTTTGTTGTTAACTTTCACTATTGTCAAATCCAGAAAATGTATAGATTCGTCCTGTTCCATCTCCACTGTAAATGTGATAGATGGGTGAAGAGAATTTATGAACTTCAAATAGTTTGTCAACTGTCTATTCGTTCCCGTGAAACATACCAGAATATCATCCACATATCTATACCAATACAGGAAACTTCTTACCAGTGGGTTACTGTGTATTCTTCTCTCCAAATCGTCCATGAAAATCTCTGTCAGAATAGGACTAAGTGGGTTTCCCATTATGAGACCTTTGCAAGATGAGTAAAACTTGTCATTGAATTGGAAGTAATTCTGTGACAAACATACCGTAAGCAAGTCTAATATTTCATTTTTCACTACTGGATTGATAGAGTTTTTGTCCAATAGATTCTCCACCAAAGTAATCGTTTCATTCGGAGGGATACTGGGAAACAGATTTTTTACATCGAATGAAATCAATTTGGCATTATCCGGGAGAGTAATATCTTGAATTTCATTGAACAAATGATATGAATTCTTCAAACTGAATTTTGATTTGAAATTGGTGTGGTTTTGAATAATTGCAATGAGTTTTTCGGATATTTTAACTGAAGGAGCTGTGACGAAAGAAACTACCGGTCTTATCGGGTAGTTATCTTTGTGTAATTTAACCAATGAATAAATTTCGGTGGTTGTGTGTTCATGACTAACGATCGGAATTTTTCCTTTTCATCCATGACACAATGAATATTTTTAAAAGTTTCCTTGACTTCTTTCTGATATAAATGGGTGGGGTCGTTTCTGAAACTATCGTACATGCCAGCATTTAGAAAGTCCAAAGTCTTCTCCACGTATTCTTCTTTGTTCATGGCTATGACCGTTTTTCCTTTATCAGCTCGCGTAAAAACAATGTTATCTTCTGCCGATATCTCTTTTATGGATTTCACCAGTTTCAATTCCGGATTGAACCTACCTTTATGCATCTTTTCAGATTTTAAAATTTCTGCAGCAATATGTTCATTGGCGTAGCATGTCCCTATCAACGCGATATCTGTATCAATTCCCAAGACATCTAAATTTGTCGAATTTATGTTGAGTTAAATATTGTAATTGAGACCTTTTTCTAATAGACGAGTTTCCTGTTCTGTGAAACTAGTGTTCGTGAGATTGACACATCTGTCAAAGAACCTATGATGTGAAAATAGTTCACTGTCTTTGGCCTTTTTCTTTTTCTTTCTCTTCAGTGGCTTGCTCCGAATTAAAACAACTAATTTCCTTCTCTGGGTTAAAAACTTCTTATGTATGATACCATTGACTTTATCACGAATATCCGAGTCTAGGACTTGAAATTCAATGTAGTGGAGTTTACACAGCAGTTGTGCATGAACCACTTTAAGATATATGTTGGCAACGTCTTTTTTGCTGTACATTTCTCTCCATTTTTATCCATTTGATTTTTCCATGTTTACTTCCTTCAGATGCAGCGTAGCTTATGTTATTGGATTCTTATTAATAAATGCTGTGATTGTGTCGAGTTGTGAAAAATAGTTTTTACGTTTTTGGAGAGCATTACCGAATAGCCTATGCTAGATATAATTCGTTACTGATCCAATTTTGGTTTTTATTAGAGATCAGTTTCTCAAATTGGGCATATGCAGAATGTGGAGATTGTTCAGCAGCTTATACAGGCCAGACAGGCTGAATTTTCAACATGAGATACCGGGAGTGTGTATTATCAGATGAAAAATCAGCTGGACAGAAACAAACTACACAATGAATAAAGAAAACAGTCTCCATACGCGCAATGAAGAAAAGGAGATGAATTTGTTGGAAGCAGGTTCCTGACTCTATCATTGTATATTTAAGGACTTGTTTTGTCAAAATGCATCAGTTTACTGGAACCTTATAATTTCAGTTATCATCTTTCCCTTTTGGAGAACACATTATATATCACACTATTAATAAAATTAGGTACAACACAGAAAAAAATCCAGTTCAAGTTATGTCGAATGTGATCAAATTATTATTCCTCAATACGCGGATTGGACGGTTGCATGTACATCAGTCATATCGTCATATCATAAAATATGAATGAAGAATAATTACTGTCCTTTATTTTCCACAGACTAATAATTGGAAAGTTCTCGATAGAGTGCGACTAACTGGAATTATAGGAATGAACTCCCGTACAGATGTCATTTGTTGTCGATGGAACTGATAAATTATCCGGTTGAAGGAATAGTTTATTTCGACCTTCGATTCATCCAAACTGTTCATTATATTTCGAATTATGGAAAAATTATTCGTTATTCAATGATAAACGTCACAAGCGGCATTTTTTTCGTGGAAATATTTATTTGCGTAGAAGATGAGCATCATACCACCTGATGTAATTGTGTCCCACTGGTAATTTAAGTCTACAGAACCGCAGAATAATTATTTCACGAATATAAACTGATAATAATGAATTTATGATTTAGTGAGTCTTATATTTCTCAATCCATAAAATCTCACCTGTTTGATGATATTTTTCTCATGAAACAAAGCAAAATATATGATGAAGGAGTAACTTAGTCCAATTTCTTCTGTTTATCACTAACTTCATACAATCACGTATCCATTTTTTCTATCTGCCATTTTTTTCATGTTTTTTGCAATAGCATTTATCATACTATTTATCGCAATTATACTGAAGTACTTGGAATAAATGTTGTATTTAGGTCTAACCTCTTTACTAGTGTAACTACCTTCATCGTATAACTATGTTGCCCCATACTTTCTTGTAATAGTTTTATAAATCTTATTCAATTCATGTGATGGAATTTGCCGATACTTGATAAACATCCATAATGCATTAAAGTAACATTGCGTGAGGGAAAACTGCAACACGTGTTTCTCTGTGCAATAGCTTCCCAGAGGAAACTATTGTATACGTGATGCGGTTTTGTAAACTGAATAGTGAAAAGCTCCCAAATAAGTGCTAACTGAATTGTTTAATTCATATTATGTAGTCTTTTTGTGTATTAAATACCAAAGAGAAAAACCCTTCCGTACAAGTTTCATATCATCTATAATAATACTAAATAATTTTCACATTTTTTTCTATTCTGGACGCGTTTCCCTAATAGCGTAGGTTCATCATTACTACTAATAAAGCTAAGGTGTTTGCGAAACGCGCCTAGAACGATAAAGAAAAGTGAAAATTGTTCAATTTATTGATTGGAATTGGCTGATACTTGATGAAAATCTATAACTAACGTATTCGAAAAACACTTCATTGTAGGATTTTCACTAAACGATTTTACGAAAACACTTGTTTCACCATACAATAGCTTCTTCGGACGTGTTTTACTGTAAGCAAAATCTTTACTGTAGGTGAAGACACGCCCTAAGAAGCCATTGTATGGCGAAACACGTGTTGCGTTTTTGTGAAATTGTTTAATGAAAATTTCACAATAAAGTGTTTTTTGAATACGTTTTATTTACGGTAAAACACGCTCGAAGAAGTCATTGTATGGCGAAACACGTGTTGCGTTTTTGTAAAATTGCTTGGTGAAAATCTCACAATGAAGTGTTTTTTGAATACGTTATTATTATGGATAGTGTTATTAATGTTCATCAAGTAACGGATCAGTTCACTCATAAGTTTCACATCAGTGCTTGTTTCGATCCATTATCACCACTTAAAACAGAAAATTGCTTGTCATACCCCCAAATTAGTAGGTACTAATTCTACAATGTAATAGAATTATACTCATCGTAGATATTATAGCTAAGATAATTAAGAAAATTATAAATTAATATTGTATTTCCATGGTTAAGTTGAAAAACACCCACGGGTGACACTTCGCCACTTTATCTTTGTCCAATACTCATTATTGTTATCTCTTTACATATATGTCCAAAGATGAATAAAGACGATTTATTATTATTATTCATCAGGACGACTGACTGTCATTTTACATTTGCAGAAAAAAATGAAACATCAACAATTCGAATATACCCCCCTGTCTGCCAATGATTGAGGTCGATCGTGTCAGAAAAAAACTATATAAATGTTGCCATGTTTCAAATTTTCCAATTCTGAACACTCAGATAGTGTGTAGTTACTATGAGCAAACTTAGGTCAGATTAAGTTATGCGCATCCATTCGGCTTGCCATGTAAATATCTGAGCAAAACAGGACGAACACATGCTGATTTGGAGCGAATGCTCAAGTTAATACGCGGCCAAACGTAATTTGATAGTTGTCATAATACATAGTTACGAGATTCCACAAATAATATTTTGTTCGGAATGTAGAGAAGGAATGTAGAAAACTAATTATGAGAGTTACTATGTGAATGATAGAAAACACATTTTTTCCATGAGACTTCTGTAATGAAAAACAGTCAACTCCGCTGCTGTCAGGTCTAGAAACACATTTCTAATATATCAACTTTCTTACCTTTGTAACCTTTTGATGAAATCTGGCCTGGCTGGTTTGTAATTTTTCACTAACAAATTGCAGTACTTCAATAATCCTCCACCTCGTATTTCCTCAGGGTGTCGGGTAGAGATCAATTTCTTCTGCAGATGGTAAAGCGCTTCTTGGAAATCCCCGTAAACGGACTCCCCGACGACGGTAGGATAAAAATGTTCACTAATTGGCAATTCACTACATTTATAGAAGAGCAATAGAGAATCCAAGATAATTTGGAAGGAATCGACGGAGAACTCGAATTGCCTCCGCATGCAGTCAACGAATTTGAGTTCCACCCCTCTTCCTCGGCAGTTGCCCAATGAAATTAGCGACCACTTATCACCGCCAATGTTCTGATTGACTTTGACCATTTTGCTGACATAAGCTTCCTTTAGACTGCAAGTGGAAATGCGTTTTCTATTGACTCCATCTGGTAACATCTCGTATAAAGAACTGAGTACCGCGGATTTGATCTTGTCGAAGTTCCTCGTGGTGGATAACTCAACCCCAAAAATGAGATCTAGGTCGTTATAAGGCTGGGTCTCTGTTGCCAGAACGTGGGAAGCAGCGCCTCCATTCAATCTGATATCCCGGACTTTTAGCCCCGCTCCCCCCGAAGTGATATCCGCCTCAAGTTTACCCCTCACGACGTTGACGAGGTCCTTGAGGCGGATTTCTAAGGTGGGGAAGTTTCCTCGGCCGTGTATACTGACAACTTCGTCCATGACTTCGTTGAGACGGTTGACTTGTTCAAAGCTAAGGACTGCCAGTCGTTGTTGAGATTCAACATTTTTGACTTCCTCTTGTGTGGTGGTGGCGCTCGTGCTAATGTAATCCTTTAGTGTTAGATCTTTCATGGCTCCCAATTCGTCGTCTTCATCTGAATCGGCTTCGATCCCACACTGAAATGAAAGAATAATTTTCATTGAAAAAACAATAGGATTTTCATTGTAGGTGTATATTTGTATTTTCATCTGTTTTCCATCTGTTACTAAACTTAGAATAAATCCCTGAGAATGATGCACAAAAATATCATTTTTCATCTCATTTTTCATTTTTGCAGTCATGATTCACAAGATGCACAATTTTTTTTAAAATCAGAAATAGATTGAAACGAACAAAATACATTTGTTATTTGGGAAAGAAAGTTTTTGGCTTTCTACTACTCCATCTGATACAAAAAAAGGGATAAGAGAATCTTCCAAAGAAAGAAGGGAAGTAATCAATTTGAAAATAAGTAACTCTATACATGGATGTGTAGATCATGCAAAGAAGTAACTTTCAGACACAAACTGGAAGAAATTCCTCCTGAAACAGCTACTTTCATATAAACATTGAATTACACGAAAGAAAAAAAATTCTTTTGAAACAAATACTTCTATATGAACACTGAATTATACAGAAGATACTTTTCTTTAATCAGATATCATTCACATGAGTTCTACTTTGAATGAATGGTAATAAATTGTACTCACATGGAACACTGTCACCCTCACTGGTATACACCGATGTTTCGCCTTAAGACACTTGCCCTAAGGCTCTTCAGTACCAAATTGGATAACATTATAGAAAATACACACACTTCATTCATGAATTACGATTTTGAATGTCACGGAATAAGCTTGATCTGCTTATATCAAATAGGTGAATGAATGTCATTACGATGTCATCTATGACATAAGCAGATCAAGCTTATTCCGTGACATTCAAAATCGTATTTCATGAATGAAGTGTGTGTATTTTCTATAATGTTATCCAATTTGGTACTGAAGAGCCTTAGGGCAAGTGTCTTGAGGCGAACATCGGTGTACACCAGTGAGGCTGACAGTGTTCCATGTGAGTACAATTTATTACCATTCATTCAAAGTAGAACTCATGTGAATGATATCTGATTCTTATTCCACAACAAATGTTTGAAATACAAACTGATTAAAGAAAAGTATCTTCTGTATAATTCAGTATTCATATAGAAGTATTTGTTTCGAAAGAACTTTTTTTTCTTTCGTGTAATTCAATGTTTATATGAAAGTAGCTGTTTCAGGAGGACTTTCTTCCAGTTTGTCTCTGAAAGTTACTTCTTTGCATGATCTACACATCCATGTATAGAGTTACTTATTTTCAAATTGATTACTTCCTTCCTTTCTTTGGAAGATTCTCTCATCCCTTTTTTTGTATCAGATGAAGTAGTAGAAACCCAAAAACTTCCTTTCCCAAAAATAAATCACTCCTAAAAATATAACCCCTTCAATACATTTGTTATTCAATTTAAAAGGACCATGGAAAAATGATGAATCGAGACATGTCATGTCAAGATCACATAATGTTAATGTCAAATGGTTTTTTCCAACAACTTCAGTCTAATATTACTTTTTGTGAATATTATTGAAATACCTACTCAAAAAAAGATTGGTTAGTCAATTGAAGAAAAAAGAGGAAAAACTAGTATGATATTTACGAGCTCAACAAAGTACCTACCGAAGAGGTAGTTGAAAACTTCTAACATAGGAATTTCTCGAAATTGCATACGGCGTTAAACTTTCAACGTTCGGTATGAGGCGAGTTTTTTGGATATCAATGTGTGGTAATATTATACGTAGAACATATGTAGCCATCTAAAGTTTAGCAGAGTTTATATGAAACATAGGACCCGCGAGGGCTAAGTTTAGGTTGATGTTATTGAAAATTATGGGTTGGGTTAATGGAACTATTGTATTTCCTCAATTGAAATTCTCCATAATTGAATCAAACATAGTTTAGCGTTATCTTAACTAAAATCGTATTTACGATAAAATTCACAATCCTGTATCATATCCATCCGCTAAACTTATCTGCCTATTGTTTCCAGCACATCCTAAATAATATAAATTCAAATCTTAGTTTAATTTTTTAATTCTAATCTCTAGATTGATAAATTGCTTTTAGCTTGGTATTTTTGATAAGTTCTCGAATTATCAAAATCATCATTAGGATGGTTTTAAAGAAAAAAATTTAATTTTAGAACAATAAAAAATTGAATATCCTTCTACCCTGTAAGTCCTAAGATGCTATTTCAACACCATGTCTCTTTGTGAAATATGCGATTATGATATATTTATAAACGTACCTTAATGTTGAATTTTGTATGTATTTGATATGTTCTCACACATAAAGTGCTGAGAAACTAGTCTAGAGTTTCTGGCACTTGTGAGTATATTGCCAACGATTGGATGACCTGTTACTTGTCCAATAAACGTTATTATTATTATTATGATTCAACTCAGCAGCATGTAAAGAACCGCGCTGTTGGGCCTTTAAAGAAGCGTAATTAGTACGCAACCATTCGATGAGTTTTGTTGACAGAGCTATATGTTTCGAAAAGATCATGGGTTTTAGATCAGGCAAGTCAACTGCAGCTAAAAGTGCAACTATTTTGGGTAGACCAGGGAGGACCGATTAACCAGATATCATATTCTGCAAACTCTTAGGGAGTCTAGCCACGTGATACCAGATCAGCAGAATTGCTTTCAGATGCGACATGGTGCCAATAGTACGATGGGGTAAGATTTCATACGAATGTTTTCTAACGGTAGGCTGGGGTCCCTATCAAATGTAGGACAATGGTAGAATCGTACCATAGATATGATTCATATAAAGTTAACAAGATATACGACCTGATGGATTGGTGAAGTCAAGCAAGTAAAGGGCGGCACAGAGCTCCACTTTCAGCAATGTTAATGTCTTAACAAGAGCCACGCGAGTTTGGATGTGATCGAGCAGATGCACACTCGGTCTTGCGAGTCAAATGAGCACAGGTATAAGCAACCGCCATAAGCCTTCTCACTTGCGTTGCAAAACCGATGCAACTGAATACCCTTTGCATCATGCAAAGCAATAGAGCATGTAAACTGCAAATTTTCTATCGAATACAACTGACCATGAAAAGTGAACCAAAATTTATGAATCTTTACAGATTCATCCCATGCGACGCCAAATTTTCATAATACCTGCATGATAATTTTTGCATACACTATAATTGGACCAATAAGCTCTAGGGGATCAAATAACTTCGGAAATTGTGACAAGATAGTTCTGAAGACATATGAGAACATAAGCAATTCCGAATGATTAAATGCCCACTTTCTCAAAGTGAATCATCCTTTCTTTAGAATCGCGTGAAGCAATAGCTTCAGTAACTGTTTTTGCACCAGAAATAATATCATAAACATAGAAATTCCTGCGATTTATTTGGGGAGCTAAGTTTAAAGCTGATGCGGTACCATACGTCACTGTATCGAGTTCATATATTTTTCGCGAAACAATATTTTTTGGTACTGCGCGACAATTGTGGACCCTCACTTGACGGTACATTTTCTCAGCATCCGCTGTGAAAGCAATGCTATGAGATCCAAACCGCATGAGAATCACGAATAGATCGTTTTGCAGTTTAGGGCCTACCATGAGGGTATCATTTAGGGATATGCCCGTGGAAATTTTGATGAACCATTGAACAAGACATGCGTCTTCGTGATCACACTATCTTTCTTCGATACGGCATAATGTGACAGAAAAAGGCTTGTCGTTCTGGTATTTTGCCAAAGACATATGCGTAGAAACGTCTCAACGCGGATACTTATGATAGACTCAATGGTGATTTTTTGCTATTATAGGGTAAACGTACCCCATACCTTTCTTCCGAGTTTATTTTTGTATGCAAAGCATAATGCTCTTCGCGAGCTTTTTCCTGCGTTAATCTTGGAAGGATTGAAGAAATCTGGGTCAGCCAGCGTAATGTTTTTGAGCAATTCGAAATATGCTTCGTTACAAAATTCAGCCGATTATACATATTTATTGAATAGAATTGAATACAACTTGCCGATACTTCATGAAAATCCATATTAAAACTAACTAATAGTTTATTGTATGATTTTCACTATAAAGGGTTTAACAAAAACCGCGCCACGTGTTTCGCTATGAAATAGCTTCCTCAAGCATAAACGCTTGAAGTTAGACTTCAAAGTAGCGTTACTGGAAAATTTGACTCTCGTGGGGTGCTATCAATTCCATTTACATAAATATCAACTGGTTTTTCAATTAGACTCAAGGAATTCGCAACTTCCTCAGTTATGAAGTGCGCATGAGAGTCACCATTCAAAAATATGCGACGAATGACGCCTTCGTCTTGATGGTCGACAATATTAACCAAGGCAGAAGCTAGTTAAGCCTGAGAGGTAATTTGGGCCTGCCTATTAATGTTTTTTGAAACAAAATGAGACGAAACCTGAAGTTTACCAGTTTGATCTGGTGACTCAGCAGCAGTATCAAAATGGAGCAAAGTATGGTGTTTTGATTTACAATGGTAGCATGGTTGCGAACTACATTTAGCGGCTCTATCCCTCTTTTTGAGGCAATTTGTACAACAACCCTTCCTTGACCCTCATATCCAGCATGAAGAGTTAGAGCTGCAAACTGATCACACGCATGAATTGTATGCTTGCTATCGTTACAAAATAAATAGCAATCTTCATGAGTAGAAACCACGAAGAAATGCTGAGAATGCTTATTGAAGCGCGAACTAACTTTTTCTTGAGGAGATTCAGAAATTTGACCTTGAACTCTAGCTCCTTCTCCCTGGGTTCATCTTTTAATAAATTTGATGAACTTTGATGGTAGGTTTTTCTAAACCACAACTATGGTCCTGCCATCTTTCGCAAGCTCGGCCAATGAGTTTTTCCTTAAGGAGTTACGAATAATATAGAGTTCGAAGATTCAGTCAGCTCTTCCAATGGTTGAAAAGGATGTTTGAAAATGATTTAAATAAGCCCTAAATGAAAATTCCTTTAATGAAGATGGTATGTCGATAATTGCCCTCATATCATGTATGTGATTGATGCAATTACCTCAGCCGTTTCACTCTCATAGCACC